AAAAAAAAAGAGAGAGATCACTCAAGAAGGTGAATGTTCCAAGTGGGCGGCACCAACTTTTATCATTTCCAAGAAAGAGGGATCTGACGATTCATCTCTGGATTCGGGAACCGAACAAACGGATCAAGCGGAGAGCCTTATCCTATCCCAAAATACAGGACATGCTCTTGAACCCAAATGGATTCAAGTGCGCTACAGTCTAGACCTGAACACGGGACAATACCACATCGAGCTTGTCACCTCACTCGAAGCAACACATACCATTGCACTCCCGAAGGGAAAAGCACGAGTACCAGAGGTTGCCAATGGGCCTATGTAATAGTCCCGACATCTTCCAAAGGAAGATGAAAGCACGCATGCATGACTTAGAAAATGTCCGTGCATACATTGATGACAACTCATCCTAACGGACGTCGATCTCGCAGATCGCGTTGAACAGTAGGATAGACCTTTCCCCAAAGACTCCAAGAAGTCGGGATTGAAATCAACACTACCAAGGCTTCCTCGATAAGAAGAACTGGAGTATCTAGAAAATTGGACTTCTCAGAAGGAAGCCAACTCTTAACTAAAAAAGAAAACAGATGCGATCCAGCTATCGCTCTTCCTACCACAGGAAGTAACTTCGTAGATTCATTGGACCATGAACTACCAAGGGTCTGCTCCACAGACAGCAGACGGAGTAACCATCTTCTGAACAGACGTGGTTACCCAGTATCCATGACCGGTCGTCAGGACAAGAGAACGTAGTCCCGCGAGAGGTCGAGAAGACTCTCCGGGATGAACATGGACCTTCGTCGCAAGTTCACGCGCGTCAATCGTGACAAGCTTCACCACATCCGTTTCAAAGCAAAACCGGAAATACATCAAGGAACGTCGCGAACGACTTATCCAGAAAACACCGATAAGGAGAACACGGCACGTGTCCCTCATCAACACCATGTCAACGACACTAGGATGATTCATCAGTATCAGAACCGTTAATACGGTCAGCAACGCACAAGGTCCTTACCACACAGACCGAGTCAATAACATGGCACTGCACGGCTCCGACATACTACCGCCAATAGCGGCACAGTCTCACAGACTTGGAACATAAGGTATTTACACCCATAACAGGCCTGATCCCCTTGTAGGATTGACATCGTGCGACGCACATGCTACATCCAATCTCCGACAGTGCCCCGCACTTTAATCATATGTTCTCCTTGTCCGACTGATGTCGTCCTTCCGTGTACCCTTGTCAGGGGCGAATGCAATACACGGCTCTTAGCCTTATTCGCGACTCGATCCTAGATAGGGTTGAGTTCGACTCATACTGATCTTTCGTGAATAGTCATGAGACAGGTTTCTCATGACCGCTAGTTATACTAGGTCGATGTGTAACATCGCGCTAGATATTTAGCTGGCGTGAGAGAGATTCCACGCTACTAGATAAATGCTAGACGAATCTTCCACGCGTTCGTTTTTGGATCGTGGAGTGAGTAGGTTTCTACCGCAACCTACTCTATCACACTCTACAGTCTCCCGCGGAGTTCAGATCTACGATCCTTTGATTGTGGATTCTCTCTCGTTGATTAGTTTCATAGCTTTCTAATCCTCTCATAACTTTCATTCTCTCAAACTCAAAACACTCGAAAGATCTTTACACTAGCTTTTAGCGTAGTGCAGTTGTGCATGTATTTGTCATAAGGATCCAATGCAAGGTACCGGTAACGGAGTGTAGCCAGTAATGCGGAACCTGGGTGTGTTCGGTACTGTTGCCACTGTCACGGATCGATGTAACTCTCTGCCTACGGTACCACAGCTGGCTACAATGGCTGGATTGCATGTATTCGTCATATGGATCCAAGTAGGGAGCAAACTGAGGAAACAGGAGACGGACGCTTAAACAAAGCCGAATAGTAGTAAAATAGTAGTAAAAGAGTGGGGGAACCGGGGACCGAGGTGAGGTAATAATGGTTTTTCCCACCTCGGTCCCCCTTTTTAAGGATAGAGCTAACGTTTTTAAAGATGCACATTTGATGTACAAGTGTTTGAAACCAGCAGTGAAACAAACACGCATTATGTATAAAAATGTTCGTGCTGATTGAAGATCAAGGTCAGTCGTGCAAATCCAAGGCGAAGCCGAGGGTGCACGGTTGATCGTGGATCGACAAGGGCGAAGACAAGGCAAGATCGAGGCAAGGGCGAGGCATGAAAGGAAGGCCAAAGGCCTTGAAAGTGCCGAGACCGCAGACGAGGATCGCAGCCGAGATCAAGACCGACAAGAGGCAGGGACGTCATTTGTATGTAATCTGTCCAATCACTTTCCGAGGAGCGAGGAGACAGGAGAAAGCAACTGGAGCACCACTGCCATTCCAACTGGTTGCTGTTGTTGTTGTTGTTGTTGTTGTTGTTGTTGTTGTTGTTGTTGTTACAGAGCTTTATTTTAAGGAAACTGGCATTCTCAGAATCCAGATTTCAGAGCAACCAGCCAGAAAGATCATTCTTTCGCCACAGCTCGCCCAAATCAACAGATTAACTTGATAATAGCTAGTAGTTACAGTGTTGCCTTACCCAACATTTCCGTTACAGTACGCTTTACCACGACTGATTCAAAGTTACACCACTGCCAGCGAAACAAACGGAAATGCGAAATTTCAAGATGCGAAACGGCTTTTGTACAGAAATGCCTATAGTAAATAAATCCGCTGATGGAAAGTTTCAACCTCTTGCCAAGATTCACACTGTAGCTTTTAAGTACTCCACTATAATCCACGAAAAAGAAGCTTTCCGCCTACAGAACTGCTGTAGATAACGCCCTTCCAATTTTTACTAGGTAAATCGAGTAAATTATTTCCGGAGAGTATGGTAATCTTAGTGAAATCCGAGGAAACGGGCGGACAGATTATGTATAAAAATGTTCGTGCTGATTGAAGATAAGGTCAGTCGTGCAAATCCGAGGCGAAGCTGAGGGTGCACGGTTGACCGTTGATCCACAAGGGGGGACAAGGCAAGATTGAGGCAAGGGCGTATCGCATTTCGCTGCGTTCTTCATCGTTGTGGGACCGTTGCTGAAAGATATCGACCACAACCCAAAATCAAGTATTCAACCGAATGCACAGCATCCTGCGCAAGAACACCAAGCTGGGTACGGTATCACATTCAACAAAACACACACAGACAGCCACACCATGACCAGCACAACTCAAACTACTACAGCCGACAAGAGCGCCTTTGATTTGCGCCAAGAAGAATACTTGGCGGCGCGATGAGCCGGTGCCGAAGCTATCGAGGTCGGAAGGGAAACCTTGGAGACAGTGTCGCGGCAGGGCGAACAATTGCACCATGCCGAACACATGGCAGATGAAACGGGCTATAAGCTCGACGGTACAGCCACCATGGACAACAAGACAATTGACGGGGTGGACAAGAAGAAGAAGAAGAAGAAGGTTGTTAAGGTAGAATTTGTTGCGTTCAACGAAGCCGAGGAAGAGAGGCGCTGCAAGAGAGGGGTAGCGCTGAGAACACGAATGCGAAGAGAGAAGGAACGTCTGAAGCCTCAACTGAACATGGCGCAGGTCACACCCCAACATGTGTGGGCTGCTTTGGTGAATGGAACGAATCTCGCTGGACTGAACACGTTGGCAGCAAACAGTGCTGGTTTTCGACACGAATTGTACGCTCTTTTTGGTTACGTGGCCGCTGTACCAAACAGCAACATCAACATGCAGCAGCCAAACACCCTAGGTGTTTTGAATGCCATGGTTGTCGCAGCTATCCCTTTCCCGACTCTCGCGGGAAACTCAAACATTATGGACTGCCTTGACATGATTGGTGCCTTGCGGTTTTTTGTCCATTTCTGGCCCCTCCTCCTATTTCTGATGGCTCCGATCATGGCGGTGGTGACGACGATGAAGGCGATAACGACGAAGATGAAGGTGACGACAAGAAAGATGGGACAAAAAAGGCGGCAATCACAAGAAGAGGGGAAATGATGGCGCTGGTAGTGGCGGCGGCAAAGCTCCGCGAATGATTGTCTAACGGGTTTGATGTTGGATAGCTTTGGGACAGACGGTGTTGGCTGACGACCCCGGGAGAACTATTTGGTTGAGGATGCTGCCTCCTGCTCAGTGAGGAGTGATTGGACGATGGACCGGAGGAGCAGCAGAGAGATTATCGGTAATGGAGGAGAGGATTATTTTATTCAATGGGAGCAGCACCCAGCAATCACAATCAATCGAAAGGCAAACCGACCGGCCTATTGTTATCATGCGTGTGTGGTAGCATGGAGTGGCCGTGGTGGTGATGGATAACGAATAATAATTAAGACGGATTAAATTCGAAGTGAGCTACAATGGTGTTTGGGGAGTCTTTGGGCGGTTTTTTGGCTAGCATACTGTTGGGGTTTTCCCACTCCTTTACAATCTCCGACTTCATAATGTAGGCCTGTGTGATACAGGTGGGTGTATTTGGTATCTCCTCTACCAAGGTGTTCATCGCCTTTTCTGCTTGTAATGAGAGTTGGTGTTGCCATACAGCTAGATCGTTTGGGTCTGCTGGAGGAGGACTTGGGTAACTGTCGCAAAAATACAACATGGCCTTGATGGTTTTCTTGAGTCTTTTGTACCTGGTACCTGGACGATGCGGCAAAAAGGTTAAATGTGGGGAACAGTCTCCTAAATTTTGATAATCTCCAAAACGGTCTCCTAATTTCAAATTACAGTCTCCTAAATTTTGATAATCTCCTAAACAGTCTCCTAATTTGAATTTTGATCTCCTATTCAATCTCCTATTTCAACTAACAAACACAGTGGTGAATCTCCTAATTTTGACTTTGGTCTCCAAAACGGTCTCCTAAATTTTGATAATCTCCTAAACGGTCTCCTAATTTGAACATTTGATCTCCTAAATTTTGATAATCTCCAAAACGGTCTCCCCTCACAACTGGACCAGTGATTGATTGCCGCCTGGTCCTGGTCACTTTATTAAAAGAATTGTAAACGGTACTGTACGTCCAATTTCCATTATGCCAGCTCTCACAGGCTTATTGTTGAAGGAAACGTCGTTGGAAACGTCTGCCCAAACACCAAAAGGATCCACCTCCCTCATCACCCCATCGCTCCGTTGTTGCAAGCGCCAAGTTATTAGTGGTCTGTACCGTAGCTGACAGTCCATCAAACCATGGCCGACTTTAGTGAGGCCAGTCAACTGCACGATTGGATGCTTGCATCCCCTGCCATGCTCGATAAGTGCCGGGCCAAGGGGAATCTGTTGGCACGAGAATACTTGGCCAAGCCGAAAGAACAGGAAGAAGGATCCACGTCTACCACGCTTCCGCCCGTGGAGAAATTTGCCTGTGGCTACGCCAGGGCTCAAAAAGAAAACCCCGACAATGAGGATCCTGCTTCCATGGGACCGCAGAAAGACGCGAGCAATCACGAGTTTTTGACGACCGATGAAGAAGAGTTTATGGTAACCTTTTATGCCAGCAAAATTCCCTTTCTGATTGGCCCCACAGCACAGCATGCCTTTCTACGAAGACCCCACAAATTCCCAGCCACGGCTGCAGCACTCTTCAGACGCTTCTACTTGAGCAACTCTGTCATGATTCATGATCCTAAAGCGGTCATGGTAGCGGCAGCCTTTTTGGCCAGCAAAGTCGAAGACGGTACCGCCAGAGTCCGGGAACTCGAAAAGGGCACCGAGTTGATGCAATCTCCCGTGACACAAGCGGAAATATTGCCGGCAGAACTGTTTCTCCTGGATGGGATTCGATTTCAGCTCATGTGCTTTCACTCCTTCAAACCGGTCGAGGCATTGACCGAAGATCTGAGGACTTTTCTCAAGTCAGAGCGAGGAATCACGCTCGTGCAAAACAAACGCATTGCCTCGGAGGATTTGAAACCTTTATTCCATTCTGCGTGGGGCTTGCTGGATGATGTCATGGTCAGTGATATTCCACTCCTTTTCACGCCCGGACAAGTTGGATTGGCCGCCATGATTGTCGCCAATGAAACCGTCCAAGCCAAACAAGCGCAAAAACCCGAAGAGGAAGAAGGATTGCCACCTCTTGATTTATTGGCATACGTCAAGCTTCGATTTTCAGAGGAGCAAGGGAGGCAAATGGAAGAGAAAATGAAGGACCTAGTACCCATGATCAAAGGCCTCAAGGAGGGCAAACACGGTTGTGGAAACCATACCGTCGACATGGCCAAGCTAAAAGCAGTCCACAAAAAGCTCAAGAAGTGTCGCTTATGGGGAAAGAAAGAAAAGAAGAGCAAGAAGAGATCTGCGGAAGGTGGAGAGGAATCCAAGAAGAAAAAGTCAAAGAAAAACAAGGATTAGATGATGGTGGGCTGGTGGATACACAAGCAGCAAAGCCAAGTCGCTTTGTGCATTGTTTGCCTCGAAAGACACGCACCAATTTGTAGTTGTACATGTAGCGAAAGCTAAGGAAAGCCAAGGATCAGATGGAAGCACTAGCAGTTCATTGCAGTTTGCTTTGTTCAATGCTTGCCTCCAAAGATACCGGTGCGCACCAATTTCTAGTTGCAGCGCTTTGCTAAAGAAAGCCAAGGATCGGGTGGCTGGCGACCTAGTGAAAGCACCAGCAGTACACTTGATTTGTGCATTGAGTTTTGCCTCCAATGATAGGCACCACTGTGTAGTTGCAGCACCAGCAAGCTGGAATCGGCACAATAACAGAGTCCATTCTATTTCGTACAGACGTGTCTTTCCCATAGATTCTGGGGTGATATTCTTATGCACTTCTTATAAACACTGCTCCTTATGATATGCGGTTGTTGAAACCAGGGGGGTCGCGGTAGCCCTTTCCGCGGTAGCCCCGTCCAGCCTCCGTAGCCCCGTAGTCATCAGTGTAGCTTTTGGTCTGACCATCATTGTCAAAGTTGCTCTCTTCTGCATTGTCGTGGTAGCTGCTTTCGCCAGTGGTTGTGAGCGCCAGGTCATCGCAGTTATCGTCGGTTGCAACCAATTGACTGCCGCGTGGACGTCTTCGAACGCGACAACACAACTTGCAGCAAAAACAGGAAAACATGCTGCCCAAAATGAAGCAGAGAAGGCAGATGAAAACCAACGCAACAATGCCCTCTGGAGTTGCTATAATGTGTTTGCCTTCACTCTTCATATAGTCCATTTCGTCGTCCGGCGTGATTGAGCGGAATATATCGAGATCCAAGTTTGCAAGATCCAAAGCTCCTTCTTCAGTTGTTTCTTCTTCGGTTGTTTCTTCTTCGGGGGGCGCTTGCTTCTTGGGTGAACAGTCGCGATTATCCAAGTTACTAGCAAAACTCTTGACGCGATTGAGCAGCACAGTGACATCGCATACATCCATATCGGCGCGACATCCATCAATGAGGCTGGTGATAGCTTCCCCATTGAAGATGAGTCGAAAGGCAAAACCGGTAGGAAACTTGTCTGTGTCCTGCTTGAATTCATGAATCTCAATGGCGATCATACTGGCATAAGGTGGCCAATCCTTGTCGCCCCAAACGTTTTGGCCTAACGAAGCCAGTAGGTGAATAATGGTGGTGTCATGTCCAGAATAGACGGCAAGCTTGGGACTTGCATCGTCACTGCTCAAGTGAGGTTCCAGTTTATCCAAGATTTCGTGCCACAAGGGAGCCATGGCCAACTTGGCGTATTCTGAGTCATTGGCCTTTGAGACATGTGTGTACTTTTCCACGTCCAAATCCATCAAACGATTGAAGAGATTGGGACCATAGTCACCACTCCCTTCTGGCTGCTCCACCTGGATTTCTTGCTCCTCTCGGCGATTGCTGGGCTGATAATCGTTGACGGCATCCGGCAGAGGACGATCCGTGCACATTGTCGTCATCAAACAATCGATGGCATGCATGTCTTGGGTTTGGTCGGGAAGTTGGAGAACAGTGCGGGTGAAGTCGATCAATGTTTTGGCTTCTTCCGACTCTTTGAACTTTGCAGCATACTCGGTACTGTTCTCCATGTCCTCTCGCATCTCTTTCAGTCGAGGACAAATGTTTTCATTGGTTGAAATGATATCTCTTTTGTAGTCAGCTGTATGCAAGGGGATGACAGGGTATTTGCTTTTCTTTTCGTAGTAGTGATCCATTTCCTTTCCAAACAAGCCCCTCAGGATGACTTGTCCCGACATGAGGGTCCGAGCTTCATCGTCGACACGATAGTAAACAGCTTGCCAGGGTCCATTTTTCAGGTAGCCCCTTCCAGGTCTGACATCCAGTAATGTCAAACGAGGGGTGTTTTCGTTGGAGTTGTCGTGGATATATGCGTCTCTCAAAAACTTTCCATTCTGCAATTCTTGCTTGTACCCTTGCAACAGCAACTGACCCTTTTGACAAGTGCCATTCAAGAAGTTGGACAGGTTGCCACTAGGAAAGTTCAAGGCATCATATCGCTTTTCAAAAAGAAACATGGCTTCGTCATTTCCTGCTTCGGCACCTTCTTCGGTGACTCGTTCCGGTGGAGGTGGCGATAGCCATGCCGTGAGATTGCAATCCCAAACTCCAGTCTCAGGATTGGACCAGTAGTCATCCCAGCAGTTCAAAGTATTACCCCAGGGCGTGCGAGCACCATGTCGCAAAAGCACAGTGACATGCCTTAAACTCGAGTCTCCCAGCTTCAGAGAGCTATTGCCACCACCATCCACATCGAGAGGGGGAATTCCGCGAGTGGCCATTTCATCAGGGGTCGAACAGTAGGGAGGATAGGCAGGATAACGAGTGTACCAATTTTTTTCTTCATCAAATGCCGTGGCTGTGGGAGACAAGAATGTCATCAAGACAACTGCCAACGGCCATGCTGCCGCCAAGGAAGAGCCAGCGGCTGTGCGACCACCAGCACTAGTCTTCATGGTTTCTGTTTCTCGGATAAATGGTGCGTTTGATACTCTTGAAAGACAATGGTCGTGAAAAATAGATGATGTTTGCTGGGTGCCGATGTTTGGGTGCCTTGAATCGAATCTTAGATTCTCTCGGAGTGGTTGTGGGTATCGTCTCTTGCAGCTATCCGAGACGGTCACTGATTTGTTTTGGAAGTGGATTTTTCGCAACATGTAGATGCTCGTTTAGCTACAACGGTACTAGAGTTAGGGATATATGATCCATTTCATCTAGTATCTCACCTCTCGGCTGGGTCGCTCTGTGTGTGGAGAGATGATAAAGATGAACTTGTGATCAGCGCCATTCATTGGGAATGGTTGGCAGGTAGAAAACGGCCGATCACCCCTGGGATTTGTACCATACGGTACGCTTCAGCCTGAAGTGGCTGATCATAACGAGTGCCGAGTCCTCCTCCTTCGCTCCTGCCGGGACAGCTTTCTCAAAGACTGCAGCAGCTCGAGAGGCTGGGTGCAACATTTATGTATGATTCTGCAAAGAATGGGCAGCATGCAGTTTCAGGTTGCCTTCCATGATTCCTAGTCTAGCCAAGTGCAACACTATACAGTGTCAACATCGAATAACACTCTAGCTTACTTGCTTTCTGTTACATGTAGAGCGTACAACTCCCCTGCGTACTACTACAGTGGCAACACCAGTAGAAACAAACTAGCTAGTAGCCGGGACAGTCTTCATGCACAGGTCCAGCAAACGGGACCGAATGTTGTCTCTGAGCAGTCTTGCAGGGGCCAGTCAGGCAAGCTCGTTCTGCTACCGTCCGTACATCAAAGTCGCCAAAGTTGTATCCCAGCCCACAAACTCACCCACAACTCCGCCCGCACTAAAATAAGGCCCAAAGCAAAGATGTCAACAATCCAAACTACCCGCAGAAACAATACTTTCCTCAATGGATCGATGGAGAAGAAGATGAATGATCCTCACATGGATAGGACCTGTGCTTCACCCACAGCTGTCATTGATCCAGGTCGAGAGACGGCGTCTTCAACCTCATCGGAAGCTAGCGTTCCGAAGAAGGCCTCGTCCTCAGCTAGGGACACACCCTCTCATGCCAGGAGCAAGTGGAGGTTTCTCGGGACCTCCAGTAGAGCCCTAACTGCCGAAGCAACCTCCCCTCACGTCGATTTCATGCCTGCTTACTTCTGATCAGAAACATACATGAAACCTGCTTCTCTTGTTGCCTGAAAGTAGGATGTGCCATAGGTCTTGCCACACTTTCCATGACATGATCCACCCTTTAGAAATTTAAAATAGAGATTAGAACTAGTACTTCCTAGTATTAGAAGTTGCAACATTCTTTTTTGCGCCATACGAGGGGTTGGGGAAATAGTCTAGACGCTGACTTCGTCCCCATAGTCCTGCCCTTCTATTCTCCACGAACACCGGTACCACCGGCCAATCACCTTTCTGCTCAGGGAATGGATGAATGATTCAATCTCATCCATCCCGTCAAACCTCTCTCTCAGGGTGCCCTATGGCCAATAAAAATGCACGACTGAATCAACGTCTCAATTGCTTTCCAGTGGCTCCGACCGTCCACAACAACTTCACAATTGGACAACAAAAACGACAACCAAACAATGAAACTGGTGGTACACAAGCCTAACAACGGTGGTTTCGAATCCTCCACGGCCACTGATGTAACCATCTGGGGTGGCAATTTATGGAATTGTGGAGAACATTCTGCTTCCAAGCTGGTCCAATCGCGTCGCAAGCACTTGCAACGGTTCATTTACTTGCCAGAGGCTCACAAAGGGGGTCGCATGGTGCGTCCGCATTATTATCGTGGAGATCGCGGTGCCACAATGGACTTCCCATCCTTGCAGGTGTTGGGGTACTATGAAGACTTGGGTACTCCCGCTGACGTCAAATGGATTGTTCCCAACCTGAAGACCCTCCTCGTGTTTTGCGGGGTGCATCGTGCTTGGCTTGGTGATTATGTCGATCGATGGTCTGTTCAACCCGCCAATCCACCACCACCAAGGCGGCGCCAGTTCCGAAATCTACTTCAACGCATTCAAGAACAGTGTCCCGATCTCGAGGAGGTTCTCGTTTGTGCGGCACCTGACTATGATGTCCCCGAAAAGATTGAGGTGGTTCGAAAGTTAACCCCAGCTCGTCCGGCCCCATGGGAATGCCTGCGATTGCTGGAAGTGGCTGTACGCAAGCCCCAAGCCGGTGACCTCTGTTTCATTTCCCAAATGCCAGAAGCAGTCATGGATTTGATTGTTGGCTATTTTCATGCTCCCAAGTGGAAGCAGGAGGACTTTGCTGTAGATAAGGACGAGGAGGACGAGGAAGAAGACGGTGGCGATGACGTTGTTGGCGCTACTGAAGACCCCATTGGGGTAGACCTAGATTCACTCGAGTGAGCGAATTGGGCGTTTCGACTAACTGGATTTTATGGCTGTGCGTTCCCGGGTCCTTGGCGCCACCTTTTGTCTTTCACTGAATCGAAAGCCATAACAATTTGCCTTTTATAATACCCTAAGAATACTGGTACATCATCAAATACTCTGCTTCTGCCAAAGATCTAGCCAGCGGAAGCAACACCTACAATACATTATGGTACTGGTACGATGTACCTGGTATCCGGGGTCCCTTCGACAGGAGCTTTGGTTTTTGCATTCCAAGGCTCTGAACGCGTCAACAACTTTGGATGGCTTAAACTAATTTGGATCTTTAGGATCTTGGGAAGGATGATGATGTGTGGCGAGGCCACAGCCTCAAACACCGCAAACAACAGTATCGGTATCGGTACCTACCAGTATACCTGGTACATGTACATCAGAGCATACCATCGAAAGGAACGCAATCGATTTCAAGAAAAGGCGACTGGTACGGAAAAAGCAGAAGATTCAAGAAGCATGCAAATTGCCGCGTCACCTCTGTTTGTGTGGTTCATGCTCCTTTCCTGTGGTCGAATCCATCAAGTGGTATTGGCCAGGGCACTCAGTCTCAGAGGACCATTGCTAGTGTCCTTGGGAAAACAAGGAAGGAGCAGTGTAACGTCCACTCCTGGTACCAAGATCCAGCAACCTTTCGCCGCCTCCACTTCCCTATTTGGTACGGGGAGTCCCAACGGCGACACGGACAACGACGAGGAAAATCAAAACATTCTACCAGATCTTCCCGACGCCAAAGGACCCCAAGGTCGTACGGGTTGGACTCACAACTTGCCCACTGAAAAATCTTCCTTTTGGGAGAGCGATACGCCATCGCCCGTGTCAACTCCGTCACCTACCGGTGCTCCTCGCACGGGGTGGCTTCACAATTCCGAGCCGACAGAAACGGCCAAGCAAATCAATCAACAGCAACAACAGAAAACATCTTTAGCTCGACATCGTCTTCAGCAAGCCATGAAGGAACAACAAGTCAATCATCGCATCCTTACTCCACCGGCATTTCATGCGTGCGGAGACAACCGTTGCTTTGCTGTCACGGAACACGTCATCTCGGTCCCACTCGATCATTCACAACAACAACAACAACAACAACAGCGTCGACGACTGGATGTGTACTTTACCATTGTCGAAAAGGTCACCAAAGACAATGCTGATTGGTTGGAAGAATT